CATGGGGGGTATATTGGAGATCTCTTATCGACTAGGAATAAGACCATAATAATATATATAGTGAGGAGCAATCCTCACATTATAAGTTGGCTTTGTAAGATTGAGTTAGGTTCTTAACTCGCTTTCTTATGATGTATATATCTAGGTATTGTATGTATGTTCATCCTAGGTAGTTGTATTTATATTTTCTGTTGGTAATAGTTGAAAGTTAAATGCAGAGATCATGTTGGGTCATTACGCAATTAGTTAATTTAGATCCTAACATTACAAAATCAATTAATATATTATTGAATTTGACTACCATTATCTATTTGATCCCAAAATTTAGTAATTATGTAACTCAATTTGGTCCCTTGGAACAAATTGATTGATATACAATGAAGTTACTGATTAAGTTGAGTGATACTAAGAATCAAAATTATTGAAAATATTTATAATAGGCATGACAACTACACCCATTTCATGGGTACCTATCTAACCCCAACTCGATTTTGATTGGGAAAACTTGTTTTGATTGGGTATGAATTTTCTCTGACTTGTTTCGGGTATGTAACTCCCTGCCTCACCATGTACTTGTCCAGCTACATTTCTCTTAATTTTTTTTTACAGTAGAGAAATATATATATGTGTGTGTATATATATATATATATACATATATATAAATTAAAGTTATTTGTTTAATTTTTATAAATATAAAAAAATACAAACTAATTATTTTAATAATTAAATAATTTAAATTATAACAATAATTAAGTAACAAGTTTAAATTTATATGGTTAATTAAAAATTTAATTTAATCCTTAAATTTTCTATTTATAAATTATTTCTTATTTATTATTTTATTATATATATTATTTATATTATAATATAATTATTAACTTATAATTTAACTTATTTAAAATGTATAAGTAAATTAAAATTATAAAAAAATTGATGGATCTCCATGGATTTACCCGAACCCAACAAAATCCGATGAGGATGGGTTTTAAAAATATAAACTCACTATTTAAAACCCGAACCTGTCTTGCCTTTTAAAGCAGCAGCAATAGGGAAAGCAAAACTCACCTCCGACCCATCCTATTGTCATTCCTAATTTATAGTAAGGATAATAATGATGGTCAACTCACTTAAAGCGGAACAAATTCTCTATTAAAATATTTTAATATAAATTATCACTTCAATATATAATTTTATTAATATTTATAAAATTGATTAGAGGAGTTATATTTTTTCATATAAAGGATAAATGTAATATACTTTCCATTAAAGAAAGACAATATAAATGAAAAATGTACGTGTAAAAAATATGTGATTAAAATAATATCCTTATATTATAAACACATAAAAAAAGTGGATTGACAGATTGATCCACCTAGCTAACCAGTTGGGTAGGTTGTAGGTTTATTTATTCAATCTAACTCACAAAAGATAAACGGGTTGATCCACGGAATTCAACCTATATTGTCATCTCTAATTTATAGTCCGAGAAGACTAAAATAACTAATAATTACTAATTTTAAGAATTAATTTTTTTTCATGATTTTAGAGACTATACAGACTAATTATTGTAATTTTAAAGACTAATATGAAAATTTATTCTTTTATATATATATATATATATCATTTTCTTTTGTCAATATTGAAAACTGATCATGCCAACACATTTGCTAGAACAAAAGGGAATGAAAATTCCATGGTGGTAATTTTGGTGTATCTACTATGTATTGTATTCCTTGTGATTAGTTGTAAAATCCCTGATCCAAATGACATTCAAATGCACTTCTATTAAGCTTTATCATTTCATAAACTCCATCAAGCAAGGCAAAAATTTCGTTGCTTTTAGGATGTGATCTATCTTCCACGATGAACTTATGCAGTTGACCTCCCTCTTCAATGAAACTATGTCCAGCTGACTTTGTAATTTGGCTTCCCTTCATCACCTTCCTGAGCTTTGCAACTCCACCCCATTTGCCAGCTGATGCATAAATATTGGAAAGAATGACATAGTTTCCCGGATTCCAAGGCTCAAGCACAAATAGAGACTCAGCTGCAATCTCAGCAAGCTCAACATTACCATGGAAGCTGCAAGCTCCCAATAGAGCCCCCCATATCACCGAGTCTGGTTTCATAGGCATGCTATGTATGATCTCATAAGCTTCTCTTAATTGCCCGGCACGGCCTAAGAGACCAACCATGCATCCATAGTGTTCTAGTTTGGGAGTATTGTGGAAGGATGAGGTCATTGACTTGAAGATATGCCTGCCCTTTTCAACCATGCCTCCATGAGTGCATGCCAAGAGGAGGCCCACAAATGTCACATCATCAGGTGAAGTTCCTTCTCCCTGGCACCATCAGAAACACAGACATACATAGTTAGTATCCTTTACAACTTCCCAAGGTTCAAAATCACTTTCTTAAAAGGGTTAAACTATTCACTTAGTCCCTATAGCTGTCCTCATTTTAAGTTCTCGTCCCTGTATGAGAAAAATGATAAGTTTTATTCCCATGCAGTTTTTTTTAGCGATTTGTCACCACTAAAAAAAATTAGTAGTGATTTTATAATGCTAGAAAGTTTATGTTGGCAAAACTTAACTTTTATGCTTGTATGAGGACTAAACTTGCAGTTTTCTCATTGAGTGATTAAAGCTTAAAATGGAGTGACTATAGGAATCAAATGAATAATTTAATTTGATGAAATTAAGGACAAGGTAAACCAAGCTGCTTACCAACATTTGATCATAAAGATCAAGGGCCAAGCAACATTGTCCATGGACAGCCAAACCCATGATCATTGAATTCCACGAGCACAAGTTTCTCATGCTACCAATCTCATTGAACACCCGCCAAGCTACATCAATCATACCACATTTTGCATACATCTCCAACACAGCATTGCTTACATACAAATTCTTAAAGAACCCATATTTCCTTGCGTATGCTTCAACCCTCTTCCCAATCTCCAGTGCTCCAAGATTTGCGCAAGCCGGCAAAATGCTTGCCAAGGTTACTTCATTAGGCACTATGCCTTTCTCTTGCTCCATCCTAAGGAACAACCCCAAAGCCTCCCCATACTCTTTGTTCCGCGAGTAACCGGATATCATAGTGGTCCATGACACCACATTCCTAGAAGGCATCAATCTAAACAGTTCCAATGCTCCCTCCATATGACCAAATCTTGCACATCCAGCCATCATAGCATTCCATGTGGGCACCCCTCTTACAGGCATTTCATCAAACAGTTGGCGTGCAAGGTCCAAAGTACCCACTTTGACATACATGTCAAGCAAAGCAGTGGCAGCAAAGAGGTCAGGTTCAAAGCCTGATTTGATGAAATGGGTATGAAGAACTTGGCCAAGGGAGGGGGAAGAAAGGGAAGTGCATGCAGAGAAGAGGAAGTTGAAAGTGTGTTGGTTTGGTGGGAAGCCATGAAGGCGCATTTGGGAGTAAATGGAGAAGCATTGGTGTTGGTGTTGAGGATGGGAGGAGTAGGCTTGAATCAGCTTGTTGTAGAGGAAAAGGGTTGGCTTTGGGGAATGGTGCAACACCGTGTGTGCATAGTGAAGGTTTGGGATTTCAAGTAGCTTCTCAATGAGGATTTTGGTGTGGTCTATGCTATTTCTTAGAGTGTAACCATGGATTTGCTTCACTTGATTCATTACATAACAAATCTTTTTTGGGTTTGAGTTCCTCAAATGTTGGAACTTGGAAACTTGAAGTTGTTGTCTCAGACAATTCACTTCAGACAGTGTGGTTGGTTTACAAAATAAAAAATAAAAAATAGCTTGATCGAGAACCCATGGTTCAATTATTTCATAGGATAATGACAAGTGTGGTGTTTGGCTGTATATTTTTATAAGAAAAAAGGGTGAAAATTGATTTTAGAAAGTTCAGATTTATTTATTGTTAATGAAAATAATTAATAACTGTTAAAATTAAAGTTAGTTCTACAGAATGAAAAGATCCATATATTTATACTTTTAAAAACAAAACACAAATATGAATTACAATTTAAATTAAATTGTCTAAATCAAATTTTAAAACATTAATTTAAAGTATATTTTCTTAACTTCATTTTTCAAAATTAATTTCATTTTGAGTAGTACTTTTAAAAGTGCACCTTACCTATTAGAAATGCTACAAACAATGATTTTATAGCGCAAATTTCAATTAAACATTAAAATAAAAACAGTTATATTTCGATGTAGTCTTTTAAATCATTAAAATGAATCTTAATGACATTTTTTTAAATGTTATCTTTTAAAATTAGTTTATGACTTAAAATATGACATAATAACGGAATGGTACTATTATAATACAGAATTTACCAATCATCTAAAATGTCAAACCACTCATCAACGATTGCAACTGGCACCAAACAAGTTTTCTTTATCTCTTTATTCGTAAAAGTTAAGTTCTAGATCATTTAAAAAACTTTTAGAACTGACCAATATAATTAAATATCTGTGCAACTGTCCCTTAAATTTTATTATTTTTTCTTATTTTTGGAACAATTTTTTTTTATCTATGACTTGCACTTTTTATGCAGAGTCCACTTGTGATTAATAAATTCTTAGCTTATAAAAAGAAACCATCAACATCAACATCATGGAAGCTCATAATAATACTAAAACAAGTGTGTATCAAAATAACCGCTCCAAACTTATGTGTAATTCTAGATTGCATTTTCATCCAATAGTCTGTTATTGTATGCGTGTTGCATAACTACAAACATTTTTTTAATACGTATCCTTTTAACACCCTTACTATTATTAACTAAAATTTATTAAATTTACAAAAAAAAATTTAAGAGTCTTACTTCTGAATCAACGAGTTTCACTCATAATTTTATAATTTTTTTTAAAAAATGACTATTGATAAAGAATGTGTTAAAAAATATTTAATATTAGCACTCCAATATATATTATGGATATGATTAATAGACATCCTGTGCCAACATATTCCTGCGTGGCATAAATATTATTGTGCAGTTCTCAACGTCATAACAAAGAGATGTTTCGCTACCTTTTCACTATATAATAAGAAGAATCACAATGAGTTCAAATAGCAAAGAATACAATTATTATTCCATAAAGGGAATTCTGTATTCATTTTACAGCAAGCAATAACAACAATCAATCTTCAAATGTACAAGCTATATATTATTTGAGACGTTTAATATAGGCCCCAAATAAATCCCTGCATGTCCAATGGTGCTGATTCCATGACACACTAACAGCCCCAACTCAACATTGGTCACAATTGTTTAAGAGCTAATGGGATACTCCATGAGAACTAGCCAAGTGCACACTTGCAAAACTTTTTGGTCAAATGGTTACAAGATTGAGGAACACCATATCCTTGTGGGGTTCTCCTGGTAAGTGAAACAATATGTTGGTGCACTGAGGAAAGCAGTTATCACTGTTAAAGAAGCAAATGTTCCATTTCCTGTCCAAGCATGTAGTTGTGTCATGCACAGTGAATGGATCAAGAGAAGGTTAGTTCCACATGGTTATCCGAATCTTAGCTCCTGAGTACACGAACTTGAACCAAGATTTTCCTTTAGAAATATGAAGACTGGTCATGAAGCACGTTCAAATGTGCCAATATTCTGGCTGACAATGATCTAATGCTACCATTGCCTCTCTGAGTTAAGTCAACTAGAGGCATTTGAGCTGAGGCTCCATATGTCTGTTTGAACTCGACTAGCCGAAAAATCCTTTCCAAAGCATGTAGAGACTTTTCCTGCAAGCCAGGGGAGGGTGAACCAAGATATCTTATTATTAGTGGTATGGCATTTGCATCAGCAAGAACTTTACTACCACTCTGCAGTCTTTCACCTTCAATTAGTGTTAATAGAGCATCCAAAGAAGCCTCGCAAACTCCAGGATCAGAGTCCTCAAGAGTCCTTGTGAGTGGTCCCACTGCATTAGCCTCCAAGAGGCAAAATGATGATTTCACTGAGCATATTCCTCCATGAACCATGCAGCCAACATCAGCAGGAGCTGAGAAGCACCATAGTCCTTTTCGCTTTGGTATTGGCCTGCTCAGGCGAATTGAACTTTTAGAAAACTGAGCAAGAGACTGTGCCACGCGCTGTTTTGTCAAGGTGGTTCCATTCTCAAGAAGCTGCACTAAAACAGTTATGATCCCGGTTTCAGCTGCACTTTTCTGCCATTCCACGTTTGTTGGAACTGTAAATCGACATAGGGCACCAATGGCGTTCTCTACTAGATGATCTCTGTCTTTCCCATCTTGGACATAACTTTTAATGATTGGCAGTGCTCCAGCATCAAGAAGCCGTTGAGTTATCTGGTCAATTTCTGGAAGATAGCATATTATTCCCATAGCAGAAAGTGTTTCCTCTTCATCAGATGAAGATTTTAAGATCCGGAGTAAAGTACTAATGCACTTCTGGTCCACATTCTCCAGTACGATGGCTTCATCACAACTCTCCACCACGCATGAAAACAACTTCACAGCACTTGCTCGAAGGTTTAGGTTTTCATTCTCACACAGTTGAACCAATTTTGGAACAGCTGAGCACTGTTTATAAATAAGCAGACAATTCAATAATGGTATATTAACATGCAACAAAAACTGGAAAATAGTTTCAACATTTTAGATCCGGACAAGTGAAGGAGTGGCGGAACAACAGTAAGTGAACTTAAAGCCAAACACTGGAAATTTTGATCCTCAATCCACCATATATTGACATACCCATAGGGTATATATGTATAATGTATGTAATAATTCTGTTACAAGGCATAAGGTATAACTATGAGTGTATGTGTTTGTTATATTGGCATAGCCATAAGGTCTATATGTACGTATTAATTTTGTTAAAAAGCATAAGGTATAAAATTTTAAGAAGACTAGCAAGCTATGACACCATCAATTATCAGAAATCAGCCATGGCATATCGATATTGAAGAATGAAAATTCAGGAAATTATGGAAATACGAGAACAAGTTTGTTTGTCATATATAAGCCAAATGTAGTGAATTCCTAAACTTAATAGAGTGCTTAAAAACAACTCTGAAAGCAATTGCTTCCTGGATGCTTGCTAGATTAGGCATGCAATATTCGTAGGGCTAGAATGTACAGAGTTTTGTCTATTCTCTTTAATGCATTAGTGTAGTGATTCAACAAACAAACACTTCTAGCTGTTGTAAGTGAAGTTAGCTTCAGTAAGATTCATACCTCTTTTAGTTTGGTTCTGATATATGAAGCCGAGGGTGTTTGACACAAGGCATAAAAGGTCTGGATAATGTTCTGTTGCACAACAGGCTTCATGAAACTAACTAAATTGAAGAGATGAAAAACGTCATCATCAGATTCTAGTAATAAAACAGGTGTTTGAGCATCCTGAGAAATAGTTGATGCAGCCAGTTGCATAATTATGGCTGCTACATCTTCCCACAAACTTGCGGTTTGTACGTTTTGATTGAAAAGGAGCTGAAGCAGCGGTCGTGCAGCCCCCTGTCTTATCATATCCTGTCCATTTCTCTTTGAACTGGACAAATTCCTAAGAGCTTTAATAGCAACTGTTTTCACCTGAAGATCATTTTCTGAAAACATGTGAAGAAGAGGAACCAGTACACCACCATCAAACAAGGACTCCCTATTGTGGTCTGCTAACTCCATTTCTGCTAAACTTGTTGCCATAATCATCTTTACATCATCCGGTCCTGCACAGAACGAGAGAGAAACAGATTATGTTAAAGGCTTGTTCTGATGTTCTCACACAATCACCCTTGTGATTTTGTAGCCAACGTTGTCCTTAACTAAAATTTATTTAGTTCTTAGAAACTTCATAGAAAAAAACGTAACAAAGTTTATTATTCTATTGGGTTGCACACGATAAAATATATACATATATATATATATATATATATATATATATATATGTCCACTATTTTTTATTAT